AAAGGAAAACTTTTATTTGCATAAAGCCTGTACGTGAATATTCATAGCAACTTTATATGCTATAGTTGGATGAATATTCCACTAATATTCCACTTTATATGCTATAGTTGGATTAATATTCCACTAATTTTTGGAACTGTTTTCTATTTAGCCTTTGTTTCTTCTTTTTGCCTTCCCCTCTTTTTTCTGCCTTCTCCTATTTTACATGACTCTATTTTTTTTTCTTTTTTTAGCACAACGATGATACTTAAAATATTTTTAGTAGGTGCCTTAGAGACTGCAATAAACATTTACAACTATTTAAATCCGCTTTCAAATAGCGCTATACCACTTCACAGGTAGGTCAGGTATTTTAAAAGATTATTCCCAGGTTCTCTCATCGCTGATTGCATTACTGTCATTCATTTTACTTAAGCATAAGCTATATTCATCCAACACATTATTATATTCTTATTTTGATCAAACTGTTAGGTTAGATAAGTTAAAAGAAATAAAATGAAATGTTTTCTTTTACCTTCATTTATTCCTTGTCTAACACTTTTCCTTTCCTTGTGTAGATTTGACTTTCTGCTCTAGATCATTTCCCCGATCTCTGAGGAACTTCTTTTAACATGTCTTATCTACTGGCTGCAAATCTTCATCTCAGAAAGCCTTATCTCCTTCACCTGTGAAAGATAATTTCATTGGACACAGAATTCTAGATGAGTGCATTTCTTTTCTTTCAACACTTGCATATTTCACTCTACTCTCTTCTTGCCTTAATGGTTTCTCTTGTTTTCTGAGATTTATTTATTTATTTATTTGAGAGAGAGAGAGAGAGAACATGAGCAGGGGAGGTGCAGAGAGAGGGGGACAGATCCACAATGAGCTCTGTGATGCAGGCAGAGGACCTGATGCGGGGCTCAAACTCATGAACCCTGAGATAATGACCTGAGTTGAAGTCAGCCACTTAACCGACTGAGCCACCCAGGCACCCCTTGCTTAAATAGTTTCTAAAGAGAAGTCTGATGTAATTTTTATCCTTGTTTCTGTAGAACAGGTAAAGTGTTTTTTTCCCCCTGGCTTCTTTCAAGATTTTCTCTTTGTCTTGTTTTCTGAAGTTTGAATATTATATGCCTAGGTACAGATTTTTCAGTATTTATCCTGCATGTTTCCTTAGTGTCCTGGATCTGTGGTTTGGTGTCTGTTAGTAATTTTGGAAAATTCTCAGCCATTATTACTACGAATATTGTTTCTGTTTCTTTCTTTCTTCTTTCTTTCTTTCTTTCTTTCTTTCTTTCTTTCTTTCTTTCTTTCTTTCTTGCCTTCTGCTATTTCTGTTAAGTGTATTTTACACCTATTGTAATATTCTCACAGGTCTTGGTTATTCTGTTCTTATTTTAATTCTTTTTCCATTTTGCTTTTCAGTTTGAAAATTTCTATTAACATATCTTTAGACTCACTGATTCTTTTCTCAGCCATGCCCATTAAGCGGATGAGCCCATCAGGTATATTTTTCATTTCTTTTACACTGATTTTGATTTCCAGCATTTTCTTTTGATTTTTAGAGTTTCCATTTCTCTGCTTAGAGTATCCATCTGTTCTCCCACATTATCCATGTTTTCCTTTAAAGCCTTTGTTTATTTTATTTTATTTTATTTTATTTTATTTTATTTTAAAGTAGCCTTCACACCCAGGTCAGAGCCCAATGCAGGGCTCGACTTATGACCCTGAGATCAAGACCCTGGGCTGAGATCCAAGAGTCGGATGCTTAACCAACTAAGCCACCCACGTGACCCTATCATAATTATTTTATTTTTTTATTTTTATTGACTAAGTTTATTTATTTATTTTGAGAAAGAGAGAGAGAGAGAGAGTCCCAAGCAGACTTTGTACTATCAGCAAGGAGCCCAACGTGGGGCTCAAACTCGGGGAGTGTGAGATTTTGACCTGAGCTGAAATCTGGCACCTAGCCTACGGAGCCACCCAGGTGCCCCTATCATAGTTATTTTAAGTTCAGGTCTGATAATTCCAAAATCTCTGCTATATCTGAACCCGGTTCTGATGCTAGTTTTGTCTCTTGAGACTATGTTTATTGTCTTTTAGCATGTATTGTAATTTTTTTTGTGAAAAGCTGGAATGTTGTATTAGGTAAAAGGAACTGAGATAGACCTTTAGTGTGAGGTGCTGTATTTATGTGGCTAAGAGTTAGGCTGTACTCACTGTTTGCTGCAGCTGTGGTTTCAGAAGATAAAATCTCCTCTAATGTCCCCGTTTTTGTGTCCCTGTTTTGTCTCTGTTGTCTTTGGGTTTCTCCAGAGAGTCCTTATTAAATGGGTCTCAGGTTTGCAGTTCTTCCAGTGCAAGCTCCTATTATTACACAGAAGCCCTGTTAACAGGGTGGTGAGATGCAGGGAGAGAGGGGAAGAGAAAGGGGAAGCATTCCAAGATCCTATAATCAGGTCTCAGCCTTTTGTAAATCTGTGTCTCTGGGTTGTGAGTTTCACAAATGTTTCTCAGCTTCCTTCCCCCTGTCCAACCTCAGGGGATATAAGAGGGCTAGAGGGGGCTAGATTTGGGTATCTCCCCTCAGGTCAGCTAGGCTTTAGTAAAAACCTCAAACAAATCCTAGTAAAAATTAGTTTACCTTGGGGCGCCTGGGTGGCGCAGTCGGTTAAGCCTCCGACTTCAGCCAGGTCACGATCTCGCGGTCCGTGAGTTCGAGCCCCGCGTCAGGCTCTGGCTGATGGCTCAGAGCCTGGAGCCTGTTTCCGATTCTGTGTCTCCCTCTCTCTCTGCCCCTCCCCCGTTCATGCTCTGTCTCTCTCTGTCCCAAAGAAAATAAATAAACGTTGAAAAAAAAAATTAAAATTAGTTTCCCTTGAGGGCAGTTCTTGTTAAGGAGAACAGGGAGCTCTGGGCATTTTTCAGAATGGTTACTTTCCTTTGTCTCCCTGCCAAAAGCAAGAGGGCTTTTTCTCTGGTCTTTACAGAACCCAGGGAAACCTCTGGAGGGAAAACTCAACAGCAGTTCATTACAAGGGCAAGTTGTATCAATGCTAAGAATGAAAAGTACAGGGTACTATGATAGTACATAATAAGGGAAACTGAGAAAGTCTGTGGGAGCAAGGAAGGTTTTCCTAAGGAAAATAACTTTTCCTAAGGGAAAACTTTTTTGGCAAAAGAAATAGCATGTGCAATTGCTCAGAGTTAAAAAGGAATATGGAATATTTAAGTGAATGAAGGAAAAATCAGGGTGTCTAGGTTGCCGACAGAGTGGGGAGAGTGGCTCCAGATGAAACTGGAAAGGTAAGGAGGCCAAGAATTTGATAGTGATTCTAAGAACAATGAGAAGCAACTTTAGGATTACTGGAGTCAAAGACTGGCAATGAAGCAGGAAAAATAATGGACATTTTCTGAAGGTTGTTCCTTTCAGTTGCTCTTTTCCCCTAATTTATCACTTTAGTTTTTCTTTCACTTTGAGTCTATGCCAAGGGTTCTAATCTAGGGAGTTAGACTTCAAGGAGTCCCTGAACCAGCAGAGATTATATGCAACATTTTGTGTGCACAGACACGTGTATTTTGTGAAGGGTACAGGTGCACAGTTTTATTGAAGAATTCTGCAATTCTCCCACCAAAATTGAGAGTAAGCGATATTATGTTCTTCCATGAAGTTAAAATTAATGACCAACATCTTGCCAAATGGAAGTTGTATCAATGTAAAGTGTCAAAACCAAGTATTAGTTCATTTAAAAAGAGAGGGATACAGGACAAATAAACGTTAAAGACTAATTAATATACAGTTTAGGGGCGTCTGGGTGGGTCAGTCGGTTAAGTGTCTGACTTCGGCTCAGGTCACCATCTCATGGTTCACGGGTTTGAGCCCTGCGACAGGCTCTGTGCTGACAGCTCTGAGCCTGGAGCCTGCTTTGGATTCTGTGTCTCCCTCTCTCTCTCTCTCTGCCCCTCCCCTGCTTGCTCACTCTCTCTCAAAAATAAGCATTTAAAATATTTTTTAAATATATATATATACACTTTATAGTCAAGGCCAGATATTGTCCCATCCTTTATACTTTCTTCAAGTTGGCAGTAATATAAATTAATAGTACTAATCATGACCTTAAATATTGCAAAATTATGAATTCATACTTACATTATCAAAAAAGGATTAATTATGCCAATATAGTCTTAGGGTTAATTTGAATTTCAATTATTAGAGAACAAGTAACCCATGAACTGTATTATTTATATAGGATAACCTTCTGCGTTGCCTTCGCCTTCAAGGTGATATTCTCTCTACTCATCTGCCACACTCCATAAGAGGGGGAAGAGCAAAAACCTGGACTTCCTTGTTTATCCTCCAGTCTCCTGAGTTTGGTTGGCGCAGATGAGACACATTTGCCTTCTAAGCGCGAATCTTGAACTCTCCTAGTCCACCCATCTCATTCATACCTGCACCTCAGGATTCCCAAGGTCTGTCTGTGCCTGGGTCTGGGTCTCTCTGCCAAACACACACACACACACACACACACACACACACGCGCGCGCGCGCGCGCGCGCATTCTGTAAATGCATTCTTTCTCCAGGAATGCACGACTCCCCCCTTTCCGAGCAACATTCAGATCCTGAAAGTTCTCCAGCGCTGGATCAGGACTCGAGGCTCCTCCTTCTTTGCTCCTGCTGCGCCAGACCGTTTCTCAGGTTTCCAACCAAGACTGGTCAACTGCAGGTCGGATTGGCTGCGGTAGGAAGAGGAGCAGATGCTCCACCAAATCACAAATCTAGGATTTTAATTTTACTTGGTCTCCTCCCTAGAATCCTGGCAACTGGTGTGCATTGTTTCTCTTAGAGGAGAAACCCTTCCTTGCCTGGGTTGCTAAGGAGATGGGACGCTGTAACTTGCTGAGCAGTTGGGACCCTGAAATCCTTTAACTGACCTCAGCAAAGCGACTGCCCTGCATTGCCTCTTTCCATATCTGCACTCCTTCTTCATCCAGAATTTTTTTTTCTTGACTCTTTCCATGGAAGACTCGACGTCCCCGAAGCGAGAAAAAGCAAACCAAGATCCGAGGGAAGCAGGGCAGCCATGGGAAGAAGTAACAGCAGCTTCTTCCCAAGGTCTTGAGTCTGGGTTATCTGAGCCCTTGGAATTGGAGCAGGGGCTGGAAACTGGACCCCAACCCAGAAGCCCTCCTCAGAGCCCACAGTCCAGAGCCAGCATCCCTCTGGATGACCTCACAGGACCAGGTGCATCATATCCACCTTCCCCTCCACAGGAGGCCTCTTACACTCCTTCTCCCCCGGCTCTGGCCAGACAGGACCTTGCAGTGCCATGGCAGTCAGACAAAACCACTAGTGTGAATCCCGAAGCTGGGACACCTCACGTCCACCATTTGGAACAATCGTCTGATAAAGGAGAATCGACTGCTTCTCACACATTCCAATCAGAGGGAAGCACCTTCCGACAGTCTCAGCAAACCAAACATCACCTGTATGGACCAGAGGATGTGAACTATAACAACTCCAAACAAAAAGAGCTGAGATTTAACATCTTTCAGGACGAAGACTCAAACAGTAACTATGATCTGGATTACGCTGAACCTGGGGTCTCTGAACTGGCCCCCAGCATGCTTGAGATCACCATTCAGAGTGCTAAGGCTTACTTACAGAAGACTAGTAGCAAGTCTGGCTTAAATTTGTAAGTCCTAAAGGGTTAAAGGGGGGTGTGCGTGTGTGTGTGTGTGTGTGTGTGTGTGTGGATTTGGCAAAGAAAAGGGGGTGTGAGTATCTGTGTATGAGACTTTGTTTCTGTGGGTGAATGGAAATGTATTTGAAAAGTTTGCATTGGTAGGAGAGAGTTGGTGGCTTAATAACTCTTTGCATCACAGGACTCAAAATAGGTCTTTGGTGGCAATTCTTTTCATTTCTTTACAAACCCTTGGCACACAGAAATAAAACCTAGCAGTTATGGAATCTTGGGTTTACAGAGATGATGAAGATAGTGAAGTCCAAGAATCTCTCCAAGATGTTTATAAAAAATAATTGTCTACCAGTGATAGGGAGTGCATGGCTCTACTCTGAGCATCATGGTAGTTGTATGGCTTGGTTTTGAGTTCTCCTGCAGGCCGGCGGGGCCGGGGGGGCGGGGGGCAGAGGCAGGGCGGGGGATCACCAATTATCTCACTTATCTCAGAACTGTCTTGATTTGAGCACTGAATATTCTGTATACCGAGAAAACCCTCAGTCCTGGATAAACTAGAAGAATCGATCACAATAATTTTAAGTCTGAAGAATTCTTTATTTAATGTGAGAAATCTTGCCCCAAACCTGAGATTGACACTTTAAAATATTTCTTCTAAAGTACAGTTTTTAAACTATAATTTACTAAGCTTCAAGGATGTGATTTATCCTTAGTGGTTATTCTACTTGAATTTCTCATTTGAACTTATTGTCATAATTGTCTGGGTTAAATAACAAGCATAAATTTACAAACTTTGTTAAAATTCCAGAAAAAATCATACATACTTGAGAGTTAGTTAACTAAAATTTAAAACTGAACACAAACATAAAAATGGAAAATTTTCCTTTATGGAATTATTTTATAACCGATATTAATTAAATATCAAATTTTATTTCATTTCCAAATGCTAAGTCTCTAAGGTAATATCTTCTATAATATTCACTATTGTCTTCTAAGTACTTTAGAGCCTGCAGTTAAAAACCATTTGGTAAAAATGACTTTAACTCTATCTCTTATATGCAATTCTTATTTGACAGCCATGAAAAATATTGTTTTTGTTGCAATTGAAACAGTCTTTTACTAAAATACAAGATCTGACATTGGTTTTGCTCTGTTGAATAAAATTAGCGTACAAAAAAGAATTGCTTCCTCCTTTTCTGCCATTCTATTAAAACAAATTATTAAACCTCCCAAATTGAAAAAGCTATAACTATGAATTAAAATCCACATTTTATAATTTGACACAAAGGCATTTTCAGATGTGGACCTCTTAAAAAACCAATGCAATATCTTGCCTGAAGAACTATAAATAAAGCACAAGCAGACATTATATTAAAGCCTGAAAAATAAAATAAAATTTGGACTTAGAGTCCTCAATTCAATGGCATATATGGTCCCTACTGGAGCAAATCAAGAACTCCAGTTACAACCCAGCTGCCTAGTAAGCAATAATATTTTTATCCTGACTCATTCTCCAGGAGTTTCAATACTGAACAAATATTAAGGAAGCATGATGAAGTTTTAAACAAACTCCATTTCTGTTCACCTACAAGAATAGCAATATTTTGGGAAAGAAGGATTTATTCTTCACATGTATTTTTAAATGGCCCTTCACATTGGTTGCCCACATAATCTGCATATATTTTTTCTTCGATATTCCTGAGACCCATTAGATAAATAAAGATATAAAGAAAAAATGAAAAATAATAGCTACGGGCAACTAGTAGAAAGTGGGCAGTTATTGAGTATCTATTTTGTTTCACTCTAATAAGGGAGAGGATGCATTAAAACAACAACATCAAAAACTTAGTTTTGGCCACGTAAAAACCTAATGCAGTTGCTGAGTGGGAAATATATCATCTACACAATTGCATAGCAGTGGATCGGTGATCTCAGAGAAGCCCATTGAATGGTTTTCAGGAATGACTAGAGTGATAAGTCCTCAAGGACAAAATATGTTTTAAATGATTTCTTGAGAGAAATTATATATATGGCACATAGCAAGCAAAGCTCTCAGGTTAGGACTTAACAACTATGTGAAACTGATTTTGAGTAGATTTACCTCACTGGGGCAGACATTCTAATTGAGCTAATTATTAGAAATGAAATTGGCGAGATGTAATCCTTATCTGCCAGAGGAGAAATTCAGGCAAGTTTGCAAATTGGACAAAAGAATTTCTATCTAACTGAAGAGTACTTTGACAGACATTTTTTGCTCTTAAATAGTAAATTCACAAAGAAAATTTGGTATTTGAAAAAACACACCTGAGCAGTATAAAATGTAATGAATTAACCACTTTTAGGCAGTTTCACTAATTCAGTTATGAAATAAGTACCTAGGACGGTGTTGTTGTTGTTGTTGTTTTTAAATGTTTGTTTATTTATGAGAGAGAGAAACAGAGTGCAAGCTGGAGAGAGGCAGAAAGAGAGGGAGACACAGAATCTGAAGCAGGCTTCAGGCTCTGATCTGTCAGCCCAGAACCCGACGTGGGGCTCGAACTCACCAACCGTGAGAGCATGACCTGAGCCAAAGTTGGATTAACCGACAGAGCCACCCAGGTGCCCCCTTAGGGCTGTGTTTTTAATAGAATAGGACAAAAGTGTTAGAGTACATCACATTTTAATAAAGATGAATAATATTTGATGACATTTTTCAATTGTGTGTGGGGAAGGGTTGCAATATGTAATGTATTTCTTATAGGTCTAAAAACCACTGAAGTAGATAATTGGTCCAGGAAATGGAAAGGAAGAGAACATATTTAAGAGTCAACAGGATTTAGAAATCAAATTGGATTTGATGAGTGTAGGGGAAAGGGGATGAAAAAGAAGTTAAGGGAAAAAAATGTAAAATAAGGTTAATCTCTTAAATATATAACTAAGAGATTTCAAATCAAATAAAATGTGAAAATGTATCTGATGCAAAATATGTACCTTGCCATAATATGTGTTTTAATAAGTTAAATATTGATATCACATCGGAGGCATTTCTTAAGCAAAATTCTAGCATAGGTTCTTTCTGGCAGTGGTGAAATTAACGGTGTTTATCCATTTACGATATCTGAAGGCTTTGAGTTCTTGAAGTTTCCTAGAAACCAACTAACTGAATCTGCATGTGATGCTTCTTCAAAGGCTTTTTGACAAGGATATTATCTGGAATTTTCTCTTTTCGGGTAGGTATGATCATCTTTCTGATATGCTTGCCAAGGTCTTAGATGAGCGTCCGGAAAATGCTGTGGATATCATTGAAAGTATCAGCCAAGATGTGAAGATGAGACATTTTAGGAAAAAATTAGATACACTCCAAAATGAGAATGAGATGCTTCCAACATATGAGATAGCAGAGAAGCAAAGGGCTCTTTTTCTCCAGGGAAATTTGGAAGGAGCTGACCAAGAACTAGAAGATGAAATAGTAAGTCACTGCTGTAAATTTGAATAGCTCAGTCTTAGAGTTTTATTTCAGATGAGTGGGTGTGGGTTTAAATTCATATCAACTGTCTTTTATAGTTTCCTATATAGTATGTGTAACCTCATTTCACACCATACATTTCCCTGTTACACTTTCTGATTTTTTTACATTGTGTTTCACAGGGTTAGTTGTTTGTTATATGTTTGTGGGGTTGAGCTCCTTGATGTCAGAGAAAATGATCTCTTCATCTTTTATATCCTCCAAAGTACCTGGGACAGATCTGGGTCTATAGCTGTTTCTTATTAATTTATTAAATGAATTAATTAATGTCAGATAGTTTAAAATTGGACTTTAAAACAAGTTGCATATTTTCCCCTTTAATTTACTAGAATAATTAGAAGTACCTCTAATGTCATTTGCATTCTTTTCCAAGGCAACTTCCTCATATTATGTCTTGATATTATGCATGTTACATCAATGAGGCATGATACGAGGGGAGAGGGATAAGATAGTTATTTTAATCTCTATAGACAAAGCGTTGAAAATATTTACAGAGAAAGCTGGTGACAGAGATAAAAAATTATCATTAGAGAATAAAATTAGTTGTACTACAGAAATTTTAGCTCCAAATATTTTTAAATAGTATCAAGCATGCTGTTTCCTGTATGTCCATATGCTTGTCATTTATACTACTGAGTAATTTACACTATACATCTACTGAGCTTCCATGTTTTGTTAACCACTAGACTACTTAAATCTGCCTATATACTTGCAAATTTGATGTTTGGTGTAAGATAGTTTCAGAAAAGGATGGAAAGTTCAGTCAGGAAAAAGATAGGAGGGAGGGATCTAGACAGTAGGTACACCATCTAGGGCTCTGCAACCTTTGTGTGGGGATCCAACCTGACACAGTGGGATACAGGGTACTCAGAAGGAACAGGTGATAGGTGCCAAGGAGTTGACATCGGCTGCACCTTTTCTGAAAATATCTTACGCCAAACATGGGGTTAAATAGCCACATACAGTGATGATAAGTCTGGAGGCAATCAGCATGTAGGGATTAAGCAGATAGGTAGACACTGTTATGGAGGAGCTTATCAAAGAGAAGTCAGACTCCACTATTAGAATGGGGCATTGGGTCATCTATAGGCACAGTATTACAAAGTAGGGGTCTGCATCCTAAAACTAGGGAAACTAGGGGTGAGAACACGAACAAGGTGTTTTGGTCCTGGAACTTGAGCTCTTTAAGCAGATTTCATAAATTCTTCCTAAGGAAGAGTAGGATTGGTTTTAGGGCCAGGAATAGCTGAGCCATGAGATGAAGATTAAAAGTTCTATCTCAAAGAGTAGAAAGATGCAGGAATAGAAAGACACATAGATCTTGGAAGCACTGAAATGTGAGCTTTGTGACCAACTCATTAACTCATTAAGTTGGAATGCCAACTTAATGTTTAGAGTGTTCGTGCTTCTATTACTGTCTTTGACCACATCAGAATTCCTGTTCCTAGTTTTAGCATTCATTTATTCATTTACCCATTAATTCACAAAATTGTGACTACCTACTGCATGCCAGGTACACGTGAAAAAGATACACACATGAAATGATATGCACAGAAATGTATTTATTTTTTTTTAATTTTTTTAACGTTTATTTATTTTTGAGACAGAGAGAGACAGAGCATGAACAGGGGAGGGGCAGAGAGAGAGGGAGACACAGAATCTGAAACAGGCTCCAGGCTCTGAGCTGTCCAGAGTCCGATGCGGGGCTCGACCTCACGGACCGCGAGATCATGACCTGAGCCGAAGTCAGACGCTTAACTGACCGAGCCACCCAGGCGCCCCTGCACAGAAATGTATTTAAATGTTTATTTTTGAGAGGGAAAACACAAGCAGGGGAGGGGGCAGACAGAGAGAGGGAGGGAGGCACAGAATCTCAAGCAGGTTCCAGGCTCTGAGCTGTCAGCATAGGGTCCGATGCAGGGCTCCAGTTCACAAACCATGAGATCATAACCTGAGCCGAAGTCAGATGCCCAACCAACTGAGCCACCCAGGCAACCCATATACACAGAACTTCCTGACTTTAAGTTGCTCACGTCTACTGAAACAAGCAAAAAGGACTGTAAAGGTATTTAATTAGTGCAATAGAGATAGCCTCATATGGTAGGGCAAACAGAAGATTTCATCTGAATTAGGATCCTAGCTCAATTACTTACTTGCTGTGTGACTATGAGTAAATGATTAAACCTTTACAAACCTCAGGAGTAATCAGATGGCAACAACTCAAGGGGAGAGTACTATTTATGAAGGGTTTGGCACATACTGGGAGCTCAATGGATAGCAGCAATTGTTATTATGTTGTTTTGACAATCTATGAAACAGAGTGGAATGACTAACTCCACTACTGGGAATTGTCCTGGAGGTGGTATTTCATTTGGGTCATGAAGGAGAAGTAGAAGTTCATGAGATAAAGACTGTAAGGAATAAATTCTGAGCAAAAAGAACAACAGAAAGTCAGGAAACATTATTTAATATTTGGGAAAGTGAAGCATGAGGGAACAATGAAAACCAATCAAACAAGATGCATAAAGCCAGACTGCTCTTGTGCATTGTGCATTAATAAGAAAGTTTTTTCTTCTCCACAATGGGAAGTCAGTAGAAGCTTTTACTAGAAAATAGCATAGCCTGTCTTGTGGTTTAGACAGGTAACCCTGGTGATAATGTGGAGGAGAATAGAAGGAGAAAGATTAGAACAGGGCATTCAGAGCCTTCTGTGACAGGACAAGTAGTCAGGATGGAGACTCTTATGGTAGAAATAAACTAAAGAGGAGGTAAGAATGCCAACAGCTTTTTAGGTGGTGGAATCAATATGACTGTAACTAATTAAGTACAAAAGAAGAAACAAGGATAATGGAATTTTCTAATTTGGGAAACTGAGTGAATGGTGATGTTATTGGCAAAGATAGGACATATACAAAAAAAGAGAAGATTTTGAGAGATACATGACTTCAATCTTAATCTGAGGTATATGTAGACTATTCAACTGAAATTTCTAGAAACTGGCTAGAAACATGGGTGTAGAACATGGGAGAAAAGTCAGAGTAAGAAAGTTGAGTTTTAAACAACCCACATAACACTTGAAGTAATGTGGGAGGAATATGCCAATCACAAAGTACTGAACGATGGCTGAAATTTTGAAAACAGCAATATTTAGGACCCAAATAAGGAAAAGGAACCAATTAGAGACTAAGAATAAATAGTTACAGAAGGCACAGTAGGATCATGAGTGAGAGCCAGTGTAAAAACAGTATGGAGATTCCTCAAAAAATTAAAAATAGAAATACCATATGATCCAATAAGTCCACTACTGAGTACTTACCAAAGGAAAGCAAAAATACTAATTCAAAAAGCTATATGCACCCCTATGTTTATTGCAGCACTATTTACAGTAGCCAAGGTATGGAAGCAACCTAAATGTCCACTGAAAGACAAATGGATAAGGACACTGGAATATCACACAGCCATAAAAAATAATGAGACTGTCCCACTTATGACAGCATGGATGGACCTAGAGGTATTACACCAAGTGAAATAAGTCAGAATGAGAAATACAAATACCATATGATTTCACTCATATGTGGAATCTAAAAAAAAACCAACAGATTTATAAACAAACAAAAAGTAGAATCAGTCCTATAAATGCAGAGAACAAATTGATGATTTCCAGAGGGAAGTGGGGGGTGGGGCATAGGCAAAATGGGTAAAGGGGAGAGGGAGATACCGGCTTCCAGTTATGGAATGAATAAGTCACAGAAATAAAAGGCACAGTATAAGGCATATCATCAATGATACTGTAATAGTGATGTATAGTGATGGATGGTACTACACCTGTAGTGAGCATAGCATAATGTAGAAACTTGTCTAATCACTTTGTGTCTATGTGGAACTAATGTACCATTGTGTGTCAACTACACTCAAATTAAAAAAAAAGAAAAACAAGTGAGGGGTGCAGTAGATGTCAAACATGAAAGAGATGAGGATTGAAAAAAGCCTTCATGCTTATTTTGACATCAAAATTACAGTAGAAGTAAGAACGGATCATTTGTAAGAATAGCAAAGTGCTCTCAATTTCTCCATCTTCAAGGTCTAAAATTTGTCTAAAATTTGCAAGTGATCCCTCTCTTAGTTACGGTTATTTTCTACTTTCTCACAGATGTTTTCTTACAGTCTACTTGAGACTTTGCTTTTTCATGTCTCTGTATTTCTTTTATGAAAATGTTTTTTAAATTTTCTTCCTTATGTTAAATCCGAAAGTACTTATTGTAAGCAGGGGAAAACATCTGACTCAATTATGTTTTCAAAGGAAGTCATGTCTGAGCCCTTATTTTATTATATTTTCCTTTTATTTATCTTGTATATTACCCTATATAGAGGGCTATATTGATTTTTATTTACCCTATAGATTACCATATGTATATAATAAATATTTATTATTTATAAAAATATGGCAACATATACAAACATATATAAACATTTTTTCCAAATATATATAGGAGGTAGACTATACTTTATTATTTCAGGATTGTAAAGAGCCCACTTAAATATTTTTTATAAAAAGAGGATGTTGAATTTTTATTATTCATAGTAGCTTAAATTACCTTTACTTAAGATACACACAGATAACAAGGCAACTGTTATATTGACAAGTATAAGACACAATAGAAGTCACATTTATAAGTAATAAGGGGAAAATTGACATACAGGAATTATCAGAGTTTGATCTAAATGTTGCAAGAAATGTCAAAGACATGGTGGCCAGAGAAAGTAAACCTAACACCAAGATCTTTAAAAAGGAAACAGGAAGCAAGCAGTTCTCTTATAGATAAAACATTAACCACAGCATTTGTATCCCCAGGCAGAAAACGCTCTCCCAAATGTAATGGAGTCAGCTTTTTATTTTGAACAAGCTGGAGTTGGTTTGGGCACAGATGAGACTTATCGCATATTTCTTGCCCTCAAGCAGCTTACTGACACCCACCCCATCCAAAGATGTCGTTTCTGGGGCAAGATCTTGGGTCTGGAAATGAATTATATTGTAGCTGAAGTAGAATTCCGTGAGGGAGAGGATGAAGAGGATGTGGAAGAGGAAGATGTAACCGAAGAGAGGGACGATGCAGATAGCGAAGCTGATGAAGACGACGAAGACCAATTACCAAGGACCTTTTACAAGACCCCACAGGCTATACCAAAAGAAGAAAACAGGACGGGTGCCAACAAATATGTGTATTTTGTTTGCAACGAACCAGGAAGACCATGGGTGAAGTTACCCTCGGTTACGCCTGCACAAATTGTTACTGCAAGAAAAATAAAGAAATTTTTCACTGGGCGTTTAGATGCTCCCATCATAAGCTACCCACCTTTCCCGGGAAATGAGAGCAATTACTTACGAGCACAAATTGCCAGAATTTCAGCAGGGACCCACGTCAGTCCTCTGGGATTCTATCAGTTTGGTGAAGAGGAAGGAGAGGAGGAGGAAGAGGTAGAAGGCAGACGAGACAGCTTTGAAGAAAATCCTGATTTTGAAGGCACCCAAGTGATCGATCTCGTGGAATCCCTATCCAATTGGGTTCATCACGTGCAACACATTCTGTCCCAGGTAAGGGTTTTCCAATTCTCAATCTATCAGCCAATCGGCAAATATTTGTTAAATTCCCTCTACAGTGTACAAATGTATACAAAACAAAGTTCTTCAGACCCTAGACAAAGAAACCTTTGAAAAACCAAATGAAGACACAGGGTACTACATAATTGCCAAGTAGTATAGACCTGGGATCTTCAAACAAATTTTTATTTCCAAACAGAAATAAAGTGAGTATTTCTATGAGAATTTGACAAGTTATGTAAGGATTTCGATTTATGTATGTTGTGAAATTATGTGCTTTTAAAAAAATTTTTCTTAACGTTTTATTTATTTTTGAGAGAGACAGAGACAGAGTGCGAACGGGGGAGAGGCAGAGAGAGAGAGGGAGACACAGAATCGGAAGCAGGCTCCAGGCTCCAAGCTGTCAGCACAGAGCCTGATGCGGGGCTCGAACTCAGGAACCGTGAGATCATGACCTGAGCCAAAGTCGGATCCTTAACCGACGGAGCCACCCAGGCGCCCCATGAAATTATGTTTTATATGTTAAACATAGATAGGTACTTTAGTTTTGGGAACAGTTGTTTTATTCTATTTCTCTAATACATGGAGCTTTTATACCAAGAAAAATAATATATTATAACAAAAATGAAAACAAGCAGTGCTATATAGCACCTCTTCTGCCAGGTGCTCTTAACAGCACTTTCTGTATATTATCTCATGTAATCCTCCCAACTGTATAAAAGACATATTATCCTTATTTCACAGATGGGGAAATTGAGACAGAGAGTTTAGAAAATGTGACAAAGAGAATATAGCCAATAAGCAACAGGGTCAGATGTGAATGGGCAGAATGGATCCAGAGTCCATCCTCTTAATCACTGTGCTGTGCTGCCTCATCTGCAGGCAGAAAATCCTTACACTTTGATCTACGTAAGAGGTACTCTAATATGTCTATGGATAAGAGTTAACGAAATGAAAAATAGCCCCAAGCTTCCTTACCTGACTTTATTATCACATTTAAAAATTTGTTATTACTACTACTAATCGTACCTTACCACTTTCATATAAACTATTTATGAAAAATTAGTAAAATGCATTATTTTTTTCACAAGGGTTTGGCTAATTTTAAAATATATGTTACATGTTCTGTAACTTTAAGAAGTTGACAAATTTCTGAAATAAATTGTACAATTTTTTTTTTTTTTTTTTGCTAGACATAAACGATCAGAAACCTAGCACTTGGCATGTATGTTGAATGAATAAACGATTGACTGGTTAAATTCCCACACAGTAGGACATCTTGCAGATAATTGCTTCAATCCAAATAAATATTCCAATATTTCAAGATCCTCATGAGATTACTAAATCTTGCGATACTCATTCCCAGGGCCGCTGTAATTGGTTTAACCCCATACAAAAAAGTGAGGAGGAAGAAGAAGAGGAAGATGAAGAAAAAGAAGAAGAGAAAGGAGAAGAGCCTGACTATACAGAACAGGAAGTGGGGCCACCTCTTTTGACACCAATCTCTGAAGATTTAGGTAATTTTACACAGATTACATAATATACCGTGTATATTATATATACTATGTAGATTATATATATATGCATATATGATATAGTATGTGTAGCATCCATATATATACTAGGTACTATAGTACATTTTTATATATGTATATATTACATACTATGTATATTATATGACAAATGGGAGTTGATAACCTATAAAAAGTGGATAATAACCAAAATTTCCTCCTCTTTCCCCTTCATGTGTTTTGGGGTAATGGGGAATAGAGAATATAGCTGGCCTCACCGCCAACTTTCTTGGACAGAGGGTGGAGGAGTGATGCAGGGAGGAAACATAAATTGGCTGCAGATCTTACTGGAAATGCTGACAGTTATCTTGCGTATCATTCTTGTCTTGCATTTTGCAGACCATAAAATATAGCCATAAACACATGACATAGTTACAGTAAAGTATCATATGAGGTACTGTGGCTTTTTAAAATCTACTACTATCTTCATATTCTTGTTTCTTCCTATTCGGTTCTGGGGCATTTTTGCTTGTAATCCTTGTTCTCTTCCATAATAAGAAAATTTTAATCTTTTATTTGGTCATTAAATAATATTCTCTCCACCTCATAGGCCTCCTCTCCCTTAGTAAAACTTTTCCCTGTTGCACAGATGGACACACACACGCGCACATACATGCATATAAATAATCAAATTTGTTGTTCCACAACATTCGTAAAATATCCTTCTGATTTTATGTTAAGCTGCTGATGTTTAATTTTTATGTCAAGTATGTGTGTTTTAAGATTTACAAAAAGAGCTTCTCTGTTACACAGTAGATCCTTGTCTATTTAAGAGTTAAGCTTTTGAATTTCTCTTTGGTTTACAGAAATCCAGAATATACCACCTTGGACAACACGGCTATCCTCAAATCTCATTCCTCAATATGCTGTTGCAGTCCTTAGATCCAACCTTTGGCCTGGGGCATATGCCTTTTCCAATGGCAAGTAAGTATCTGACGAATTACAAAGCCATTATTGTGATTATTTAAGTGCTAAAAATTGTAACTTATCACTGGAATGTTATGTTCCAGGTTTTTTTTCTTTCTTTCTTTTCTTTTCTTTTCTTTTCTTTTCTTTTCTTTTCTTTTCTTTTCTTTTCTTTTCTTTTCTTTTTTCTTTTCCTTTTTTTTTCTTTTCTTTCTTTCTTTCTTTCTTTCTTTCTTTCTTTCTTTCTTTCTTTCTTTCTTTCTTTCTTTCTTCCCTCCCTCCCTTACCTGCTTCTCCAGGTGAAGTACCAACCTGGGCTCAGGAGTTAGAGCAACCCCAGAGTAAGAGACAAGGCTGCCCTGAGTGGTTGTTCAGGGCAGTCATTCGCAATAACCAGGGGAGAGACCCAAGGCCAGGATGGGAGGGGGAAAGGGCATGGGGCAGTCCACCCAGAGTAGGGAGTAGGGAGAAGTGATACCCAGGAAGGTCCAGGCCATGAGCTAGATGTCATGTTCAGCACTTGCACCTACATCTTCCCCATGCGTTCTTATCACAACTGAGAAGAGAGGTCCGCATTTCACAGATTAGGAAACTGGGCTGGGATAAAGAGAGAACAAAAGGCTGGAGGCAGATGATGAAGTCCCCAGACTCCACAGTGGGTAAAATGTCGCTGTCCAGGATGAGCTTCCTCCTGTTGCCAAGATAACCATTTCCAGGGAGCCTACACCACTGCAGTCTGGTAAGCTATTTTCTCACCGGAGCTATTTTCTCACTGGTGTTCGTTTCTGGAGCTGTCTGGTGCCAGGAATGCTTGGTAAGGAGGAAGCGGGTTACTATGGCTTTAATTCATCTTGGCATGTCAAGTGTGTGTGCCATAAGATTTATTCAGATAACATCTGTATTACACAGTGAAGCATCAAATTTAGAACATTAGAGTAACTCAGACTTCTGTCCTTTTAATTAACCAATTAGTGGAACTAAAATATGGCTTTTATTCTATGATTAATAGACATACTCGTTTTCTGAGATTAATGGAGGTAATTCTATGCGGTGTTTAAATTAATCTCAACAGTTTTTGTTGGACATCTTGAATAAAAAATAATTTAAAATATGTATTATTTAAACTATCACCTTCAAGAGAATCAGGATCAAAGAGGATACTCAATGTCCTTTTATTCCTCACCCAGAACATACACTTCCATTTGTCTTATGCTTCCATTTCTCACCTAAGAGCCCTCTGTCAGAAGCTCAGCTAAGCTGGAGAGACAGCTGAGCTGTCACATGTCAGAGATGCCATTAGAGCAACAAGTCCAAAATGAAAGAGTTAAGCTTGTGAACATTTACTGTGATAAGCAAGAGAAAACTCTGACTGTCCCTGTCCCATTTTCCCTTGTGGAATGGCACACTGATGGAAGATCAGTGGATCAGTGTATGTATGGGGGTCATCTCACTGAGGAGTCCCCAGATACCAGGCTTCTGCAGTTTTTATGGCCTTGAAGGCCCAGGAAGCTGGTAGAGGGTGGAGGGAAGGGCTAGAAGTGAAGAAGTACTCAATACTGAGTCTGGGTGGGGAGAAGTGTCCTTGAGGTATATCTCCTTCCCTAACCCCATAAGGAGGCCGTGGCAGAAGCACCTGAAGACCTCTGCTTAAGGCTTCAGATAAGACCTAGAATGAAGGCACCTGTGCTAGGAACTCAACCATGCAAAGAGCACGGCAGGCCAGATGGCCCAGAGTCCTTGACCACAGCTTCCCTTAGAGACATCGATGCGCTGGCTGGGCATCAAGTCTGGTGTGGGAATGGCAGTCTTCCCCTGTGAGGCCTGTTGGGCAAAACTTGTAATTGCATATGGTTGGGCCTGAAAAATCACACACAGGTTTATAACCAATCACAAGAATCCTCTGCCATACCAGCAACGTACTAGTTGTGGTCTAGGTGTAAAGTACAATGGGTTTGGTGGCCTCTTAATCCGCTTAGGCAGTTTGGATCATAGTCATTTCCTGTGGGAGGAGAATCATTGAGGGGTATTTCATCTCTAGCACTTAAAGTGTATTGTTTTAAAATTATGGGATTATGACCCTCTAAGGGTGATCGACTTTTAGAGAAGGAGCGATTTTCTTGCCGAAAAATTATATAACAATCACCTACTTTCTTTTTTAAACTTTATAGAAAGTTTGAAAATTTCTACATAGGCTGGGGTCACAAATATAGTCTAGACAACTATACACCCCCAGCTCTACCACCAGTGTATCAAGAATACCCCAGTGGAGCAGAAATTACAGAAATGGATGATCCTACTGTGGAAGAAGAGCAGGCTTTCAGAGCTGCACAAGAAGCAGCTGTTCTTTCAGCTGAGGAAAATGAAGAAACGGAGGAAGACGAAGAGGAGGATGATTATGACCAAGAATAAAATTAGCCCAGGTTTGTGTAAGACTGATCCACATATACCTTATGGGGAACCGATTTTATTTTATTTTATTTTATTTTATTTTATTTTATTTTA